TTATCTCATCTCATAATAAAATATTAATAACACAATTAGGCATTTTACCTCTCCCAACATGTAGTTCAATTTACGTGTACATATATATGTGAACACCTACGCATGCGTGCACAATATCACCTTTTTCACATATACACATTCTATCCATGCATTTAATTGAATAACATGAATGTCATCATGTATTTCACAAAATAATCACATAAAGATGTTAAGCCAACATAAAAACAGAAATAACATAAAAACAGAAGCAAAATGCAAGTAGAGTAAAAGAATGTAAAATATGCTACAAACAAAACACCGTGTCTGTTTCTACCATCTACAGCAACACAAATTACCCAGTCTTAGTCTTGGGTGTAAAATTGGAAAAAGAAGGTATATACAGACCTCATGTACAATTAGTGATACTGACATTACCATGTATATACAGACCTCATATGCACATCACCATGTACAATTCGTGATACCCTTACCCAAATAGATATGTGGTAATTTGTTTTAGAAGCAAAAGGTGTTAAGCCAACATAAAAACAGAAGCAAAATGCAGTAGAGGAGCGACAGAATTGCAATCAAACATAAAAACATAAAGAAAAACATGAAGATTCAAGTAAAGGAGCGACATATAAGGTGGCTTTACCTAATTCGAGTAGAGGAGCGACAAAAGAGGAGCGATGGATGACGATGGAAGAGGAGCGATGGATGACGATGGGAGACCGAAGAGGAGCGATGGATTGATATATATATATATATATATATATATATGTGAGAAAGCAACAATTGATTGAATCATCATCTTAGGAAGATCAATCTGAATCGTCATCTTGGGAAGGAAAAGCAATCGAGGAATGTATGTATAGTTGGGAACCTAAAAAGTAATCGTTGCTTCCAGTGATTTTATATTATATATATACTTTTTAATTTTTAATTTAAGGGGTTATTTGTTTACCTCTTAATAGTTCCATTAAGAGGCAACCTCTGAATCGTTAAGAGGTGAATCTTGTTTGGCAAAAAAAAGTCTGCCTCTTAATGGTTCTAAAAACTTCTGAATGATTTTGTATCCTGAATCTCCCTTAACAATTAAGAGTCCTAATTTCATTGTACACAATTACCTAACAATTATATTTCATTTTGCACTATACCATGAGAGCCTCTTAATCATTCTGACCACTTAATCATTCTGCATCAAACCATTCAGCAATTGCCAAACAGCCCCTTCAAGACTTTAAGACTTTTAAGACATTTACCAAATTTGGTTAATAAGGTGGTATAGATTATTATTAATTATTATTGCCGCCAATTTTTTCATGAAAATTTTAAAAAATTTAAATTTCCAACAGAATAATTATTTGTTTTATAAAATAAAAGTCTGTCGGAAACCCGTCGAAGTTTTTATAAAAAAGTCAAATTCTTTTGGTTTTCCTTTAAAAATAACTTTGGAAGGAGAAATTTTTTTTTTTTTGAGAATTTTGGACGGACTTCCGACGGATTTTTATTTTAACGATAAACAATTAAAGTCCAATAGTATTTGTTAAAACACAATTGAACTTAATAAGACTTAATAGATCCATTAGCGTTAAATAGAAGCATTAAATCCAAGTTGAACCAATAAAGCCTAATACGCTCATTAATTAGGTTTATTGGTCTATCTGGCTTATTCGTACAGTTCATTTGGGTTGTTTACTTACGGTTTATTCGCACAGAACATGGCTTAATCACATAGATAGAAATGGTGTGTTGTCCCCATTCAGCCACAAAAATGACACCCTACCCCTTATTTAAAGCATTGCCTCCTTCCCAAATGAGACACCCCATCGTCAACCTCTTTATGATTATTTGTTTTGATGTTCAAATAATTAATATTAGGGGGTAAATCGGTCATTTATGTCATTCAAACTGTTGATTCAGATAAAAAAAAGTAAACAACAACACCTATTTATCCAGACAGACAAATTTATCTAGACGGACAAATTTATTCATACATGACTTAATAATTTTTTTGGTAAACAATCCTTAAGATCCATTAAAACCCAAACAGTACATGTTAAAGCCCAACTAAATCGAATAAGACCCAATAGATCAATTAAAGCCCAATAAAGCCTAGTTGAATCAAAGGAAGTTATTGAGCTTCAAAACTTGTAAATCATACATAAAAATACATACCTCTTAAAATTCAACAAGTAACCGTTTAACATGCTTTATAATATAGTATAGATTTGTAACAAAAAGAAAAGAAACAACATTTTTAATATATTTTAGTTAATCTATAATTATGTATTTTAAATAAGATAAAAGTGTGAAATGAAAAATGAAAGCATAAGAAATGTAAAACAAATTAATTCATATGTATTCATAATATTTATCATCATGATTAAATAAAAAAATATTCAATATTGGGTTCATTTTTAAAGGTATTCACTACACGATTTTAATTGTATTATTTGTAAACAAAGAAACGCATTTTATTAATATGTTTTAGTTCATATATGATTTTCTATATTGATATGATAAGTGTGTAACAAAAATAAGGGATATAATTTATATCAAATAATTAATTATAAGAGTATAAAATGTAATATATAAATTAAAATAGTTTAATTTATAACCATGTGCATCGCAAAATACACAATTTAAATGGCTAAGATTTAATATTAAGTTTGATCCAACGGTGGAAATAAAAATGACAGTTTTTTGATTCAGCGAAATCAATATTATATATGATTAAAATAAATTGTTGTTTGATTTTTGTTTTATGTAGGAACCTAGAATCCTTTAATGTTCTAATAATCACATCCTACGTCAATAGATGAACGGAAGCAATAACTATGATATTAGATAGTTAGCAGAAATGAATAAAACACAAATAAGATTAAGGTGTTGAACAAGTTGCTTGTATTGAATGATTGAAGAGAACTACAAGAACACCATGAACAAGGCTTGAGTGTGTGTAAAGAGAACTCTCAACAATATTCCAAATCTCACAAGTGTATATCTAATCTCGCTCTAGCAGCAAAGAGCATCTTCAAAATATGGCAATTAAGGGATCATATTTCCATAGAGGAAACATCCTTTTACAGGTCATTACCAAAAAGGAATCTTCTATAATTTAGGCTATAATCTTTGGCATCGCGTCCACCAATCATTAGCCTCCACGATCCTTGAAAGATGTAACCGTTTCTACACACGTGTCAGCCTATGATTGGAACACTTGTGAAATGCGTCGTGGAAATTTTGTGTGCAAGCTAAGGGGAAAAGGAGACCCAGAGGCTCTGCATGTATAATGTAGAGGCTCTGTGTCTGGAATGAGGCTCTATATCAAGTTCTTAAGCTTTTTAATGCTAAGACTTTATCTTCCTTTACTTAGCACGGGCTCTGTATGCAAGGGACACCTTTGTGTCCGAGTACCTCTTAGCTGTGCGACCTCTGCATCCGAGTTCTTGTTCCAGACTGCTTTCTAAACTAAGTTCTCTTGATTAGAGCAAAAGGCTTTTTACGTACACTTCATGAAATATAGATCTAACATCCTAAATAAATAGTCTGAATAATAAAAATTACCATTTTAACCTTATGTCTACATAAATGTTGGATGAAAATAAACTGTGTGATAAATATTTTAATTGACAAAATATTAAAATAATATAAATTATTTAACATAACAAAAGTAATATGAATTCAACGTTTTCATGGCACGATACAAATTAATAACTTAAAATATGTTTAAAACAATAAAGTGTTATTGTTTGATTACAATTTTTAATTTATGCATGTTTGGGATTCCGATGTTGATTAAAATTGCAGGACAAAGATAATTTTGAAAAATGATTTAACGGGTCTGATCCAATGTTAATTTCTTAAGATGATTTAATTTAGGTTTGAATTAACATATGTTTCTATATTATGAAAAAAGGCGAAAAATTGTGTGAGAAATGTAGTTAATGTGAAAAGCGTAATAAGGGATCTAGACCCTTGATCATGTTTATCTCAAACCCACCCATAAATCTAGGGGTGCTAAAAAACCCGACTAACCCGATCAATCCAACCCATCCAACACTAAATAATTCAACCCGAAGCAACCCAATGTCTAATCGAGTTGTGAAATTTTCAAACCGTAGTTATTGAGTTGAAATTAGATTACTATTATTTGAATCCAACCCAACCCAATGAACCCGATATCCTTGTATTTCTTGAATTTAATATGATTATTGAGTTTCTATTTATGTATACATTAGATAATTATACTATCATGTACTTTCTTCATATACATATATTTTCAATCTATTTTCCATCTCTTTATAACTCATTTGTATATATGTACGGTAATTGTGAACATATATATATATAAATTGAGAAAATTAACTCAATGAGATATATGTAAGATTTAAGAAGTATGAAATAAGTTGTATTAGATGATTGATGATGAAAAATAAATTATGACTATAGAAATAACATATTCAAGGTTAGAAGAATATTTTAATGTATCAAAGTATCAATCCGACCAACCCGTACGGTTTGGGTTAGGTTGAGTTGAGTTGCACTTTGGTTTGGATTGAGTTGAGTTAAGATTTTTTAAAACACAAACATTGAATTAAGTTATTCAAATGTCTTTAACCCGATCAACCCAACTTATGAACATCTCGATAAATCTCATCTTAGTGCATCTTATCCTAATATAATTATAGACGAACACATTAACTCTCATTCCTATCCTAACTCAACTCTCATCAATAATATACCACAAACATAATAAAGGAATTTATTTATTACTTCATTCAATAATACCATGATCAATCATATTTATTTATTGTGGTTTTTGGTTGTGAAAATCCATCAACATTCATGATCAAATTGATTCCATTTCAAATGCATATTCATACAACATTTTCTTTTTATCCATTTGGGTTCTTGATCTCATGAAGCTTTTAACAGAAATGAAAGACCTACTCTCCTGTAACTTTCCCAATTGCTTTAGATCTGCAGCTCTCATTTCCCCATATACTCAAAAAGGGATCCCCCTCAAATTCCTTCTTTCTTGCACATCTCCAAAAACTTCAGACTCCCATCAATGGCTATCATAACAGAAGAACCAGACACATCACGCTCTTCTCCAAAGAAACCCAAACTTAAACCATCTTCACCATCATCAATTCCAAACCCTTTCACTTTTTGGTTCTACTTCACTATCTCAATCTCTCTCTTAACCCTGGTATTCGTCACAATTTCCTCTCTGACCACCCAACAAGACCCCAAAACATGGTTCCTTACACTACCAACCAATCTCAGGAACCACTACTCTAATGGCAGAATCATAAAAGTCCAAGCGACTCCTCACAGCGACTCCATTGAAGTCTTCACCACCCAAGATGGCCCAATTGATTCGTCACGTAATGTACTTATTGTACATGGGTTAGGTTGTAGCTCTTACATTTTCAGTGGCGTTGTCAAATCGTTAGGAAAAAAGGGCGTCCATGCTGTTGCCCTAGACCTTCCTGGTTCTGGGTTTTCTGATAAGTACGAAACGGTGACAGAAGAGAAGGTGATCGGGGGTTTCGGTAGGCTCCTAGAGTTGTATAATGAAATCAAGGAAAAGGGTCTGTTTTGGGGGTTTGATCAGTTAGTTGAGAAAGGGTATGTGAATTACGATTATGAAGAAAACGAGATCCGTTTGTCAAAAGTAGAGAGTCTGAAAGCCATAGAAGTAGGTCCAGAAGAGATGGGTAGGGTTTTAGGGCAAGTGATTGACACAATGGGTTTGGCCCCTGTTGATTTGGTTCTTCATGATTCAGCATTCAGTTTGGGAGCAAACTGGGTGGCTAAAAATCTAGGGCTTGTAAGTAGTGTAACTCTTGTTGATAGTACATCAAATCAAACTGCTTTTCCTTTATGGGTTTTGAAATTTCCAGTGGTTAGAGAGGTTGTTTCTGGTTTCGGTTTTGTGTTCAAGAATGTTATTCAGGCATGCTGTTCGAAATCCGGTGGTGGGTCTGATGCAGAGAGCCATAGACTTCTTTTGAAGGGTAGAAACGGATTAAAACCGGTTGTTGGAATGGGGAAGAAGATAAATTCTAGTTTTAATATTGCAGAATGGGGTAAACTCGACGGTGTGAAAGATTTACCAATGCAAGTGATTTGGTCTGAACAGTGGATCAAACAAGGGGAACAAGTTGCCGGAGAGCTTACTCAGGCAACCTTTGTCACACATTCCGGTGGCCGCTGGCCACAGGTGAGCATAAACAGTTTTGATTAGTTGAGATTAACAGTCTTTATATCCTTCAAATAATAGGCTGTGCTTTAATTTTGATCATTAAAACTTTTCAATATGCTTCTATTATTACTTGACTGGCTGTTTGGTTGGTTTTCCATTAATTCTAATATGGATAAAGTTGTCTGTATGGATTGAGAAGGTTCTTGTTTTGTAGGGATTTTTCATGAAAGTAAGGAACGTCTTTTTTAATTTGGAGCTGCAGGTTTGGAAAAAAATTGGCTCTCTGCATAATGCTCCACCTAGAAGCTTACTATATCATTAAGCCACTACCAAACAGTCATGTATAGCTGACCGAATAAGCTGCGACTCCCTTTAAGCTGCTAACAAACAGGTCCCACGATTAGTATAAATTGCTATTGGAAGTTAACAAGCTTGACACTCGTATTTAGTTAAAACAATAGAAGCCAATCCCATTTCCTAGGAGTTACTTAGGGTATAGATCATTAGTTTGCGTCTTTATTGACGTCTGCCTTTGTGAACAAAGTGGATTACTTGTTTTTATAGAATAAAGATTCATAATGTGAACCACAACCGAACTTCTTGGTCTTCAAATATATTGTATTTTTTTGACAAATTACATATGGGTCAAGGTTGATTCAATGAATATTCTAAAGATAAGCATACTCCTCGTTTGAAACATGTAATCTGAAATCGTTTTGGTGAATTCTTTGAGAACTTTTCAACCTAGATGGCAGCCTTTTGTGTCATTCAATAAGGCCGTGACAGTCCTCTTGTTGAACCTTGTTGGGCGATACTGTCTTTTTGCACATCCATTGAGTTCTAACAAATGAAAAACTTCAATGTATATGCCTTTGAATGATATTTGTCTGGTTGATTACCGTTCTGCAAAACACGTGGCCTTTGACTTATTTTGGCTATTGTTCTATTTTGTAGGTGTAGTGAATGTTATTTGTTGCAATATTGTAGTGTAGTTCAAGTGTATGCGAAAATTTGGTAAAAATGTTATAATCTTTAGAAGCAAATTAGTGTTCTTGAAGACATTTTTAGTGTTCTACAATGGTAAACCAAACCAAACCCAATGTATCCACTTCGGAAATGGCGTCTATGGAGGATAAGATATACATAGCCCTTACCTCTACCTCTAATGAGAAGGTTGTTTCAGTGAAGCCCCCCCCCCCCCTCCCCTCCAGGCCGCTTGCGGAAGTGTCCACATCGTGTAATTCTTTCAAGTTTTTAGTTGCTTAAAAACCTTCGTTGGCTAGATAACTCTTTGGTAACTGTGTGTGTCCTGGCTAGCTTGTTCATACCTTAACTCATTCCATTGGACCCTGAAGTTAATAGCTGTTGGTACAAAGGACAAGTAGGGACAAGACAGTACAAACAGATTTGTTTCATGTTTGGCAAGACTTCGGAGGCACAGCACAAACTTGAGTGGGACAAAAATGCATTTTCTCTCTCCTGCCAAAATAGGTAAAGTCAGAGAGATGAGACAAATTTAGTAAATTATTAAACTACTGATGTTAAATTATAACCCTTAAATCTTCCACGATTCTTTCACCTGCCTACCTCACTCTCGCTACGTCTAGTCCCGTCTGAGTGCCAAATGCACCCGCAGTGACCTTGCGGTGACTTGAACCGCTGACCTCTAGGGAGCAAGCCCAAAGTCTTTCCAGTTTAACTATTTCGCCAAGTTATGGCTAGATACTTATTCTTGCCATATGATTTAGTTGTTCTTCACCTGTGAATGGTTTGAGGGGAAAGCTTTAAAGCAATTAGAGAAGGTATTTATTTGAAACCAAACGGTCTGAATTCTTAAAACGTAAACAAACTCTTCTTCAAAATCCAAGGAGCCTTGCAGGGGCGGTGTCTTTTTTCAAACAATTTGATATCATATGTTTCTGTTGTTCCATCTAATGATGACATCTCTGATGAGTGCAGGATGATACAGCTGATGAACTAAGTGAAAGTATTTACGAGTTCGTGTCCAGATTGGCAAAACCTGTCAAAGTCGCCATGAAAAAAGAGCGCATACCAGAGCGTATCAGGCAAATGGTTGATGAAGCAACAGCCAATGTTCACCACCATGGTATTGGCGGTCATGACCATAGCCATGGTCATGGTTATAGTCAGGAAGTTGGATACCCAAGTGCTTATGGACTGGGCAATGAATTTAGTTGAGAATTTGTGCTTCTCATTTTTCTGGCTATGTTTTTTTAAGCTTTTTGTTTGTTTATGCTTTTTGATGGTTCAATGTTAATGACAACATGTAGAATGGTGTTGTTGAGTATTCTCTCAACGACGGTTGCTTAGGGCTATTTCTAATGGGTGAGATTGTAGTACATCAAAATGGTATCGTATGTAACAATTTACTCGGTAAACCCTTACCCCGGTAAGAGTTGTCACCCTCACTTATCGAGTAAAACTCTTCATCTTTATCATCGTTCTTGCCGGGTAAAATTTTTGACCTTTCCCATGTTCTTCCAGTAAGGAAAACTACCCAGCAAGTACTTACCGGGTAAGCATCTATTAAACGGCCCCTAACACATGATTCATAAAAATTGGTTTAAAATTGATTGGATGCAAACAGTAACTTTTTCACTAATAAAAAAAAAGAAAGAAAAAACTTAAGGGTTCAAACCACACCAATGGTGAAGAGAATGTGTGAGTTTATTTGTTGCATTTTGTTGTATATAATTATTATATACTTCAATTTTTTTTTCTCTAATCAATAACATCAGATCGTACATCATAAACTTAAGGGTGTATTTAGCTTTATGGAATGGTTTTGAGGGATTTGAATTTTGTGGAATGATTTGGAATCGAAGGAATTTGGATTTGTAAGGATTAGGAATCATTTGGTATGTTTGGTTTGGAAACTTTGAAATAGGATTAAATTCTATTCTTTATAAATAATTTATAAAAACAAATTATGAAAATAATTAAATTACCTTTTTATTGATTGATTATTACAAGACGAATGTTTTTAACGTATTCTAAAACATTATTAAACACAAATCCTACGAAATATCAATTACTTCTATGGGATTTAAATGTTTGTGGGATTTTAAATTTAGGAAATCCTTCAAATCAAACATGAAATTGGAATGCAATTTAATTCCAAATCCCTTGTAATTATACTTTTTTTATCTTCTTCATTTGGTGTAAATAAAAAGTGTTACAACAAATCTGTTGTGTCAAGATTTAGGATATGTTTCACAAACTAACTGATAAGCTAGCTGATGACTGATAAACTAACTGTTAGCTTACAAGCTAGCTTGTGGCAGATAAACTAGCTGTTAGTTTATAAGCTAGCTTTTGACTGATGAACTATCTATTAGCTAATAAACTAGTTGCTGACTGATGAACTATTTGTTAGTTTATAAGCTAGCTTTTGACTGATGAACTATCTATTAGCTAATAAACTAGTTGCTGACTGATGAACTATTTGTTAGTTTATAAGCTAGCTTTTGACTGATGAACTATCTATTAGCTAATAAACTAGTTGCTGACTGATGAACTATTTGTTAGTTTATAAGCTAGCTTTTGACTGATGAACTATCTATTAGCTAATAAACTAGTTGCTGACTGATGAACTATTTGTTAGTTTATAAGCTAGCTTTTGACTGATGAACTATCTATTAGCTAATAAACTAGTTGCTGACTGATGAACTATTTGTTAGTTTATAAGCTAGCTTTTGACTGATGAACTATCTATTAGCTAATAAACTAGTTGCTGACTGATGAACTATTTGTTAGTTTATAAGCTAGCTTTTGACTGATGAACTATCTATTAGCTAATAAACTAGTTGCTGACTGATGAACTATTTGTTAGTTTATAAGCTAGCTTTTGACTGATGAACTATCTATTAGCTAATAAACTAGTTGCTGACTGATGAACTATTTGTTAGTTTATAAGCTAGCTTTTGACTGATGAACTATCTATTAGCTAATAAACTAGTTGCTGACTGATGAACTATTTGTTAGTTTATAAGCTAGCTTTTGACTGATGAACTATCTATTAGCTAATAAACTAGTTGCTGACTGATGAACTATTTGTTAGTTTATAAGCTAGCTTTTGACTGATGAACTATCTATTAGCTAATAAACTAGTTGCTGACTGATGAACTATTTGTTAGTTTATAAGCTAGCTTTTGACTGATGAACTATCTATTAGCTAATAAACTAGTTGCTGACTGATGAACTATTTGTTAGTTTATAAGCTAGCTTTTGACTGATGAACTATCTATTAGCTAATAAACTAGTTGCTGACTGATGAACTATTTGTTAGTTTATAAGCTAGCTTTTGACTGATGAACTATCTATTAGCTAATAAACTAGTTGCTGACTGATGAACTATTTGTTAGTTTATAAGCTAGCTTTTGACTGATGAACTATCTATTAGCTAATAAACTAGTTGCTGACTGATGAACTATTTGTTAGTTTATAAGCTAGCTTTTGACTGATGAACTATCTATTAGCTAATAAACTAGTTGCTGACTGATGAACTATTTGTTAGTTTATAAGCTAGCTTTTGACTGATGAACTATCTATTAGCTAATAAACTAGTTGCTGACTGATGAACTATTTGTTAGTTTATAAGCTAGCTTTTGACTGATGAACTATCTATTAGCTAATAAACTAGTTGCTGACTGATGAACTATTTGTTAGTTTATAAGCTAGCTTTTGACTGATGAACTATCTATTAGCTAATAAACTAGTTGCTGACTGATGAACTATTTGTTAGTTTATAAGCTAGCTTTTGACTGATGAACTATCTATTAGCTAATAAACTAGTTGCTGACTGATGAACTATTTGTTAGTTTATAAGCTAGCTTTTGACTGATGAACTATCTATTAGCTAATAAACTAGTTGCTGACTGATGAACTATTTGTTAGTTTATAAGCTAGCTTTTGACTGATGAACTATCTATTAGCTAATAAACTAGTTGCTGACTGATGAACTATTTGTTAGTTTATAAGCTAGCTTTTGACTGATGAACTATCTATTAGCTAATAAACTAGTTGCTGACTGATGAACTATTTGTTAGTTTATAAGCTAGCTTTTGACTGATGAACTATCTATTAGCTAATAAACTAGTTGCTGACTGATGAACTATTTGTTAGTTTATAAGCTAGCTTTTGACTGATGAACTATCTATTAGCTAATAAACTAGTTGCTGACTGATGAACTATTTGTTAGTTTATAAGCTAGCTTTTGACTGATGAACTATCTATTAGCTAATAAACTAGTTGCTGACTGATGAACTATTTGTTAGTTTATAAGCTAGCTTTTGACTGATGAACTATCTATTAGCTAATAAACTAGTTGCTGACTGATGAACTATTTGTTAGTTTATAAGCTAGCTTTTGACTGATGAACTATCTATTAGCTAATAAACTAGTTGCTGACTGATGAACTATTTGTTAGTTTATAAGCTAGCTTTTGACTGATGAACTATCTATTAGCTAATAAACTAGTTGCTGACTGATGAACTATTTGTTAGTTTATAAGCTAGCTGATAAGCAAATAATGTTTGGTAAAAACTATCTGATAAGATTGTAAAATGATCAAAAAAGATAACTTCAAAAATTAATCAATAATAATATTTTAAAATATAAATAAAATAAATATCTAATAATATAATATAACACGATGGTAAAAGAATTAAAAAATAT